CCCTGCTTGTGTTCCTGCTCTCGCTCTCTCTCTGTTAAATAAATAAATAAAATCTTTAAAAAAATTAAAAATTAAAAAATTTAAAAAAAGGTAATATATTTAAGGATATTTTACAGGTTATACAGCATCACATGAATGCAAATTATAATAGCTATTACTACTTTGCCACAACACAGGACATTATTTTTTAATAATCTTTTAGCAAGACTTTTCTTAGTGGGCTCTAATATATAAGTTCATCAATACTCCCTTGTGTGTCCTGTGTCTACCAGCTTCATGCAAGGAATCCAAAACCACATTCTAAGGCCTACTGTTGCTCAAGCTAGAGGGTCAAGACTGGATGTGTAGAAAGTTCTCAAGACTTAGCCAGCACCATCTGCTATCAGATACTTAATAAATGCCTTTTAACATCAATAGGTATTATTTTTAAAATGTATTCATTTAGGGCGCCTGGGTGGCTCAGTTGGTTAAACGACTGCCTTCAGCTCAGGTCATGATCCCAGGGTCCTGGGATCAAGTCCCGCATCGGGCTCCCTGCTCTGTGGGGAGCCTGCTTCTCCCTCTCCCACTCCCCCTGCTTGTGTTCCCTCTCACGCTGTGTCTCTCTCTGTCAAATAAATAAAATCTTTAAAAAAAAAAAAATAAAATGTATTCATTTAAGTTATCTCTACACCCAATGTGGGGCTCGAACTTACAACCCCGAGATCAAGAGTCATACACTCTTCCAAGTGAGTCAGTCAGGCGCCCCAACATCACTAGATTTTAGCATCACTAGATAATTACTCAATCTTTTATATGTTAGGTAGGTAAGGGAGAGAATTATCTTAAGAAAACTACATGGAATTTGAAAAGCAAATAACTAGATATGTAAAAATTTGGCAAGCCATATTCTCTCCCTAGGCCTCATAGGCATCCGGCTCCCTGCTGCTTGGGAAGCCTGCTTCTCCCTCTCCCACTCCACCTGCTTGTGTTCCCTCTATCACTGTGTCTCTCTTAGGAGTATACATAGTTTTATAAAGGAATAAATAGGTGGGATGATTTAAGGCTTCTGTGAGTATACTCTTTGAAGTATTTAAGAAGTTGGGAAGGTAAGTTTGACCAGAGATTCATGAATAAATAAAAATCTTTAAATGATAAATTAAGGGGCGCCTGGGTGGCTCAGTTGGTTAAGCGAATGCCTTCGGCTCAGGTCATGATCCTGGAGTCCCGGAATTGAGTCCCGCATCGGGCTCCCTGCTCAGCAGGTAGTCTGCTTCTCCCTCTGACCCTCTCTCTCTCAAATAAATAAAAAATAATAAATAAATAAATAAATAAGAACTCCTACACATCCAGATGAATTAGAGACCTAAATATGGAGAAAAAGCAAAGTTTTTTTTTAGAATACAGGAGTGTATCTTTATGACCTCAGGCAGGGAAAGTTTTCTTCACAAGATACAAACAGCATTAACCATAAAGGAAAAGTAATTTAATTTCATCAAAATTAAATCTGTCCATAAAACAACACTATTTAAGAGAACTACCAGACAAACCAGAATGGAGGGTATTGACACTACATACATAATGCCTATAACTAAGAAAA